AATCAGTGAGAGTAGTGGGTGGTAAAGTGGCTGAAGGCTTTGTAGTGAGATAGAGTTGGGTGTCATCCGCATAGCAGTGGAAATTAACATTGAATTTATGTAAAATATTACCGAGGGGAAGAAGGTAAATGATAAAAAGAAGGGGCCCCAGGACAGAGCCCTGGGGCACACCTGTAGTGAAAGAAGACACGATACACTCTTTTTGGAAACCATTACCCATCGTAAACGACACCCAATTCATGCCTAGGATGCTGACCCAATTTTTGCTCTATTTATACCGAAAATGAAGTGAAATGATGCTTTATTTGTCATTTGCAACTACAGGTATATTGCAATTCTTTTTTTTTTTACATCACATCTTGCTCTCCTTTTTTGAGACATAAACTGCGTGCAAACTCATCAGAAGCAGCTTGTTCTTGGAGTCTGGCCAAGTCCAGCCTCATTCTCCTAGTAGGTGGTACTCTGATGAATCTAAGCTGAATCTTCAGAGTAGCAACAACAACTCTGTGGTCAGAATTCACAAACTGAACCCTTCTGCAGAGCCTGCAGTGTCTGCCTATGAGAATGTGATCAATCTCCTTTGCCGCGCAACAGTACTGGAGTACCAAGTCACATTGAAGTCACCCATACATTTTGGGGGCAGGGGGGGCAAGTTTGTTATTGCCCTATCATTCACTGGGGATAATTCCTTTCTTACACCCTGCTCACTAGAAGAGGTCAACTTATAAAACAAAATGTGTAAATAAATTTGTCAAATATGTGGCAGTGCACATAATATGTAACATTTATTGAATGCATGTAAAATATTTAAAATTAAATTAGGAATATTAATAAAACGTAAATATAGTAAAATGAGCAAAATCTTACATAAATATATACAGGACACATAATAATTAATTTAATATTTTGTAGATTTAAGAGCTTTTTAAAATGTGAAACCTGCCATGTTCAGGCATTAGTTCAGCTATTAATATATGCTTATTTGTGTACCAGTATTGTAAAGTGATACGACTTTATTCAGTGTTTAAACAAATTACCTAAAGTTAAATCAGGAAAGTCCACGACTTATCGTCTGTGATGTCAAAGTGCTTCCTGCGTCTGCACATGAGGAGGTGGTTCCTGCATTTTGACCTCTTTTTTTCGGTGTCAGTTACCAACTGAGAGGTTTGCGGACTCATGAACCCACAAGTCGGTTTTAGTTTGACAGCATCATCTCTGCGACCTATTTTGCGAAGAAGTCGAATGCACAGGCCGCTTACAGCCCTTTCTCCCTTCTCCCCTTTAATGCTCGGCCTGAAAATAAGTCAGTTAACCTAGTTTCTGGAATTTGATAACGCCGCTGATCATTATCATGAGCACAAAGTCATTCTTCGAAACCAGAAACGGAGAGCCAGGATTTTTTTTTTACTTTGGAGAAGTCATTTTCGTAACACGTTACTTAAAGCAGTCAACATAATGCATTATAGATACTTTCATAATGCAATATTAAAGTTATATAAACATGGCTGTAAATTATAAACATAGCTATAACTATTTAGAAAAAGGCATACATTATAGCCATGTTTATTATGCATTATGAATGCTCTATGAAGCTCTCATCTATTATGCACTATAGATACCTTAATAATGCATTATAATGGTCAGTAAAAGAATTAAGGATGCTTTATAAACGTAGTAATAGTGCATTATAGATGAGTTTCATAGAGCAGTCATAAGGCATAATAAACATGGCTATAATGTATTTATAATACTTTATGAATCCATTATAATGTATTATGAAGGTATATATAATGCGTTATACATAATGGCTTTAAGTAACGATTAATAATAGTTATTTTTCACTATATTCAGGACTGCAGTAAAATGTGAATTTTCCAGCAGATACAGATTTAAAAATTATTTCACTGTTTAAAACATTAATATACTGTTTAGTTATATTGTAGCCTGAATTACACTGTAACCTTTGCATGTCTGTTTGAACCACAATGCTAAGCTATAAAGAATTTGGTTCTGGTCCATAGTGAGTGATATTTCAATGTGTCTTCTATCAGAGTAATTAGCACTGCATTCTCACACCTCTAGGGCTTTGTCAGCTCCAATTGTAAAATAATGAAACAATTATGGCTATGATTTGTGTATGCTTATACAATTCTGGCAGTTACTAAACTCAAAGTCACATGCATGCCCTTGGGGAAATTGTTCTGCATTGTATGGCCAACATCACTCAGAGCCATAAACATTGGCAGGGTACCCATACAGTTTTGGGAGGTGGGATCCCATAGGATTCACCACTGTTCTTTGGTTGCAGGTTCGATTCCCATTGCTAGTTTGGTGTATGTGTGTGTAGAAGTAGACTTTTCTGTCTGTGTTTGTGCAATTTCCTTTTAGGTACTCTTCTTTACTCCTACAGGTTAATAAGTGTATCTGAGGTGCCCATAATGAGTGTGTACTCTGTGGTGGCCTGGCTTCGTGCCACATGCATCCTGGGAAAGGCTCCAAGTTCACCTTATGATGAATGGATGCATTACATAAAGAGTGGACATGATGATCTATCAGTGAAAGGCAGCAATCCACAGTCTGGGATTTACCGAGGTTCACATTCTAGAGTTTATGTCTACTGTTATAATGATCCTAGAATGTCAAAAAAAAATACAACCATATCAATTTGATAGGTTGTTGCAGGCATGACAGATAACAACATACTGAAATATACCCATATAATGAAGACAAACTGTGTTATAAAGAATTAGCAGAAACGTGTTGGCTTTAGGTCAACAGTTCTTATAAATAATAATAATAATAAAAATATATATATATATATATACTATACAACCAAGGGTACAGAGGATTATTCATTGAATGATTACTTGATGGGGAGGCACAGTGGTTAACACTGTTGCTTTGGGCCTCTGGGACTGAGGTTCGAGTCTCCGCTGTGGAGTTTGCCTGTTCTCCCCATGTCATCTTGGGGCTTCCTCTGGGTGCTCTGCTTTCCATCCACAGTCCAAAAACATGCTGAGGTTCACTGGATTTACAAAACTGCCCGTGTGTGAGTGAATGGTGTGTGATTGTGCCCTGCAATGGGTTGGCACCCCATCCTGGGCTGTTCCCTGCCTTGTGCCCTGCGATGGGTTGGCACCCCATCCTGGGCTGTTCCCTGCCTTGTGCCCTGCGATGAGTTGGTGCCCCATCCTGGGCTGTTCCCTGCCTTGTGCCCATAGGCTCTGGACCCCCCCCCCACACCCAGAATAAGATTAATGGTTTCAGAAAATAAATGAATTACTAGATTCTTTTCCCTAACAAAAAGTTGCACTTTTTGGCAAACAAGCAGGACTGAAACAAAATGTAACAATAGCCTTTTCAATGCTTCATTCATGCATTCACCATGCAACATCCAGTCTGGATTGCATCCCCAAAAGCCCAGGAGACAAGGGTTGGAAATATCCTGGACAGGATGCCTGTCCATCGTATACTTAGCAATACTTAATTATCTTTAATACTATCACATTTTATAGGTGTCATAAAGACTCTTTGATAATTAAAATGTCAGTATTGGCATATACATATCATCCACCGCATTAGCATCATTTGCTTCTGGTGTACAATCTGCGGTGAGACTTATTGGAAGTGAATAGCTATTTGTCACTCATGTTTCCTCTTCCTCCTATTTGATCATCATCACAATGAGGACGCCACCGGAAATGCTTACATAAGAAACGACGCCTTTAAATCAGTATATAAATTTGCTGCCCTGACTACAAAAACAGCCCACAGAAACTGCAGTCACTGTAGGTGAGATAAGAGGAAAAATGACTTCAGTGATCAGTCTGCTGACTTTGACGGTGAGTGCTAATTGCAAATGCTCCTTTTAAAACAATTAAATTACATGGGCACTATCATCTTGCATATTGTGCAATATTCTAATTAAATCTGGATTTATAGTCACAGGGTTTAGGCATTGTGCAATTATTATCTTTCTTTTTGACTAGTCAGGCTGAGAGATTTTTTTGGCATTTTTCTGTTGCATTACAGATTCATTTTCTTTATGAAGCAGCTTTGGTAACTTGAGGAGGCACAAATAACGTAGTAAAACTCTTACTTAATGCATTGGTTGACTGGTTGACTAGAAATTAAGTGTCAATTACCGTGACAGTTTACAGGTTGCTATACATTTGAGATCTGACAGATATTACAAAATAAGTTAGCATGTTGCAAATTTTTGCACTATTATCCTAGGAAAATATATTTAACTATGCATTCATGGCAATGAATAGAACATAGAATTACCAAATGCAAGAATCTGCTATATGGAAATTATATAACCATCATACAGTAACATTTATTTGTAACTTATTTCTAAGAAGTACTGTATTGGTTATGTATGGGTGATCTTTAGCGTAAACAGAGAACAACTGTCTGACTGTGTAAACTGCCTAATGGTTACTCACTGTCAGTTTTCTCTCATGGCTGTTCCTAGAATGCAGTGGGAACAATTAATGTAATAGTACACTCTTAATGTATTGATTAGCCAGAAACTAAGTATTAATTACATACCGATTCCATATTTGTTCATCATTAATCAATCCGAACAGTTCATGTATTTCATTCAGTTACTATATTGTGATTTGTACCTGAGTAGTAACTGAGTTACTAAGTTACTTGTGCCCCCTCTAATAAAGTGGGTAACACTTTACTTAAGGCCATGTTTTTAGTAATTTATAAACACATTTATAATGCATTATAATGCATCCATAAAGCATTATAAACACAGTTATAAATATTTATAAAGAGGCATGACATATTATAGCCATATGTATTGAGCATTGTAACAGCCTTATGAAGATCTCATCTACAATGCACTAGATACCTTTATAATGCAGGACAAAGCATCCGTAATGCTTTTACCAGTCATTATAATGCACTATAAAAGTAGTGCATTATGGATGAGAGCTTCATAAGGCTGTTGTAATGCATAACACGCATAGTTATAATGTGGTATGCCTTTTGCAAAATATTTATAGCCTTGTTTATAATGCTTTATGAATGCATTATTATTTGTTATGTAGGTGTCTATAAATTACTAAAAACATGGCATTTAGTGTTCCCGCGTAGTTTTAAGAAGGCGGTGTTTACCTAGTTAAGCTGCTCATGTGAGATTCTTTAGATGCTGTGCAGTGAATTTCCTTGGCATATTTATTTGCTTTAATGCCTGCGTTCTCCAGGTTCTCGCAGCATTGGGAGTTCTCGTGGCCATCCGGGGCTCCGAGGCGCTACCTAGACTGAGGGTTAGCCGAGCAGAGTATCGACTGGAGAAAACCAAGAGGGCTTCCAAAGGGATGGAGTCACAGGCTCACACAGAAATGGTGAACCTCATGCTGGACCCCAGTGTTTTGATCACCTCTGACCCAGTACCCCAGCTGGCTAATCACTCCTTGTCCCCATGGATGTACAGGTGACATGTTAATAACTCATTTTCCTGAATCTATAGTGTATATTAAAGCACTGAAGTGAAAAGCATTATTTTAGTTGCTTAATCTGGCTCAGGGGCATAGTTAGAGATGAATGGACAGGGGGCTGAGTCTTTACTAGGGGGTGCTGATGGCAAACCATTTATGACTTAACCAATAAATACACATTTACTTGGGGGGGGGGGGGGCAAAAATGTGGACTGTCCTGTCTGGCAGGGAGCTCAAAGGGAGCAAAAACATGGACTGATTGTGGGTCCTTGAGGACCGGATTGGGAAACACTGAGCTAAATAACCGGCAAGCTGGTTAAAATGAGTAAGACTAATGCCCTGGTTCTCTATCTGCTTGCACCTACAGAACCACCCACGATGACACACGATTTCCTGTAGACATCGCCCAGGCCAAGTGTTTGTTAGCTGGCTGTCGGAATTCACTGGGGGAGGAAGTGATGGATGTGGAGTCCCGACCAATTTTCCAGCAAATCCTGGTCCTGAAGAGGGTGGAGGGGAACCAGAGGAAGTACTACTATAAGCTGGAGAGCCAGACCATCGAAGTGGGCTGTACTTGTGTCCGCCCAAACACAGTGCATCAGAAGTAGCAGGCTCCAGCGATGGAGGCTGCAGTACTTCAGAATCTACCAGAGGTAGACAGTTCAGGTCCAGAAAGTACAAATCCAGACCAAGGTTTTTTTTCCCAACCAACAAGTTGAGTACTCTGTGACTGTGACTCTTTATGCTCATGGGAGTTTTACTTACACAAAAATGTTATGAGGGCATAAGGAAAAATGATTGGTTCAGAGAGATAACCAATCAGATTGTAGAAGAGGTGGGTCCAACCAATCAGATGTCTTGGTCCTGCCTCCTCTAGTCGCTTGTCCCCACCTCCTCTACAATCCACCTCTGGAATGAACATTACTGTTAGCGTTTTCATAATCATTGTTTATCTTCTTTTTAATCCATTTTTACTCTAACTCATTATGGAGGATGTATTTATTTAATTTATTAATGTATTTGATTGTGCATTAACATTTAGGAAATAAGGTTTTAAGATTTTATCTATTTATTGAAATAATACATACATTTGAATAATCAGTGACTCAATAAAGTTAAATATAATTGCTATAAAATGGAAATACAAATAGTAGCCATTCAATGTTCAGTCTTTCCTGAAATCCCCCTAAGATTTTACGTAATATGAAGCCACCAGAGCATTTTTTGAAGCATCATTGTGTAACTTGAAGGCACGAATGGATTAACCAAAAAGCAGGTTGTTCTAAGCACTGAATAAAGTGGTTGCTACAAATGTACATTGTTATTACAGTTTTGTAATGTGCTACTGTGCAATTTTAAAACATAAATTTTGTGCAATAAACCCACAAGGGAACAGTGGTATTGAACAGCAGTTTTAATGATCTTTGCTTAAAATATATTTCTGTACATCACTGAACAGACATATCAAATGTGTTCAGAGAATTGTTAATTTGATTAACATTTACACTGGCTTTGCCAGATCCTTCCATAAAAACAACTAAATCAGCCATCGATGGCATATCGTGGGCTGAAAGCACATCACGCAGTCCACTCAGCACTAAACACGCACACACTCATACATGTTCGCACACATGCGAGCACGCACTCATGCACACGCTTGGTTACGGTAGCCTTTCTTCTTAATGTAGGTCTTAAGATGAGCACAGGACCACCACGTACAAACTCACGCTGTTGGCACTATTGGCGCGGGAGCAAAAGACAGAGACGGCTTCTCTAGAGCCTTATAATCAGTCCAGAATTTGTATCAGTCTAGGTCCACACTTTGAGGTAGACCAGGCACTGTTCTGCTCTGTAAGCTTTTCCATCTCTTCGGTTGTTCACTGTTTGTTCTTCCAGGGAACAAGCTGAGTAGTAAAGTCAGTCCTTTGGTGAGATGCCTTCGAAATGTTTGTCGTGGGAACCCCTCATGGGACCTGAAATGCAGAAACGTTGAGAGGAAAAGCCCGGCACAAATATGACAATGAAGTTGTGCTGTATGAGATATACCACCAGCCAGACGTTTTTGCACACCACAGGTTTTCCATTTATTTCATAAACTGCCGATTTTTTATTCCTGTTAAGCACTGGAAACTTGCGTGAACAACTATAAATGAAATTACAAGTCAAACAGAGCAAGTTTCCTTTATAACATGGAAAGAGTATGTAACGTCCTACATGTCTGACATCCTACTGTGTGGTTGTGTGGTGATGGAATAGTCAAATTCTAGGCCGTCCTTTAGCTTTACATACACTAGTTAACTGTTTCATCCCATGAAACAGAGCAGTATGTAATGTCCCTTGTAGAAAAGAATGCCTCGAATTTTCTCTGCTGTTATAACTGCTAGAGGAAGTTACTTTGATGAATCAAAGATGTGTCATTTTCTTGCTGGTAAAGGTACTCAAATGGTGAACATACTGTACATGTAAATGTATTTGTTTATGTATTTGTTATTTCTTTATTTATTTATTTGCTAGCAAGGAATATTGAGTGTGTTTTTAGTAACTGGTAAGTGAATCTTAGTGTGTGCAAAAACCTTTGACTGGTAGCATTAACGGATATATAGAAACACTCTTCCGCTAAGTGTTCGGTTAATCCAGGACTAAGGGTGTAGGTTTGCTTTCAACATCGGAAGGGACCGAATCAACCCTGAACCGCCCACCCCCCTAAACATACAGTAGCCCCACAATATGGGCAGGGACACGTCTACTGCCACACCCAAATCTATGCCCTTGCCCAGAACCGACCGTAGGAAGCAGAAGGCCAAAGGCAGGGTAAAGGCTGAATGGAAGTTTATCCGTTGCATTCATATAGTAACAGGCTAAAGATTTATTTAGAATTTAGAACTGCAGATTTATCTATATGATGCGTCTTTGTATTGAGAGCTGAAAACGGGGAATTGAAGGTGGGGGTACATGAAGCCACTGGATTACTGTATTTAGAAGCCACTGGATTGCTGTATTTAGCAGCCACTGGATTGCTGTATTTAGCAGCCACTGGATTGCTGAATTTAGAATCCACTGGATTGCTGTATTTAGCAGCCACTGGATTGCTGTATCTTTGAATCCTTTTAAATGAAAATGACTAAAAGAAGGATATTTATCCTGCATGTATTTTATTAGATTAAGCAAAAAATAACAATTGCAATACCTTTTCCTCCTGGCTTTCAGCAGAAAGGATGGCTTCTGTATTGCTCAACTCTTCTTTGATCCTGCGTTCAGAGTGTAGACCCTCGTCACCATACTTTTGCGTAGTTTTATGTTTCCTCTCCTCCACTGGGGGCTCTAGCAGTTCAGCTTTCTCACACTAGGGGGCAGATGAAATTCTTTGTGAGATCATTTGGATGCGGTCATCAGGATATGCAGGATATGCTCAGCTAATATGTAATTATCTCATGTAATGAATGTGGCTAAGATATCTGGACAGCAACTGTTCAAATGACTTCAAAGTATTAAAGACCTTCCTCGAGTCAAGAGTCAACAATGAACCAATCAATCAAAGTGATTTGTCATAATGCATTTTTTAATAAATAAACTTCAAACATCAAACCTAAATAGGAATTCAATAAACACTATACAGAAATGAACAATAAGTGGCATCAACACTATAATATGACTTTGCAGCCTCTAGAAAAGTGATCAGTTACAATGGAAAAGAAAATCCTAAGAAAACAATATGGAGCAAATGGAAATTTGATTATTGAAGCCTAAAGATGTACAAAATGATCCATTTTCCATGACCACTGGTCCTATTCAGGGTCACGGGGGGGCCCATAGCCTACCCCGAAGGCAGGGAGAAACCCGACATGAGGCGCTAACTAAAGAAAACGTGGTTTACTGATAATTAGAAGGACGTCACCAGCACACCTATGTCTCCCCTTAAGTTTCTCCACCTCAGGTTTCTCACCTTCCTTCTTTCTTCTGCGATGGGCAGCTTCCTCTGGATTTGTCCCTGGGATGGCTCTCCACGCTGGGGCAGGGCTGCACTAACCTCGGGCACGCCATCGAAAGAGGGGGGCCTGAGAATGACCTCGAAGGCCTGTCCGGACACCCGCTTATTCAACTCAATTACTTCCATGTCCTTGATGACGCATAAGTTGAGGTCCACAACATCTGCAGAGGCTGGACCAGTAGATAGAAAGACCAAATAGAAACAATAGATAAGCTTAAAATATATAAGCATGGTGCTAGCGTGATGCTAAACAGTGTTGCCCACAGCAAATGAGAAGCCACAACGAGGGACTAGGCATCAGCTACCGGTATCTTACTGCATAAGTGTGAGCATTTTGCTTGCAATTGGAATAAACTTACTCAGTTACTCCTGAGGTAAGCCAAGCATAGAAGACAAGGGGTTTCTCCTCTTTACCTTTTGTTTTCTGAGGCTTCCCTTCAGCATCACGGAGCAGACAGGTACAGAAGAGAGACACTAGGGGGAGCTCTTTTATCTTCTCTTTGTATGCTGATGGAGGAAACAGTGAAACCACTAAGCCTGTCATAAATACTCAAAGCATACCATGGCTGCCTTATCGATACTAATCTAGATCATAGTGGAGTAGAATTATCTGTGCACACTGGATTATCTCTGACGCAATACTGATTGTCCACTAATGGAGGCTTTTGATGTGATTTCCTATCAGATGTTATTCAGTGCTTCACTGTGTCATTCAAAAACCATGTTCGTTTGAATGACTAATCTTTGAAACCCCTCAAAAGCAGCCAATTCCCAGTAATTCTTTTCATATCAACAAATATGTCCCAGTTAAAATTATTTTCCTTTGAGGACTTTATTTTCAGGTATGTTCACAAACACCAAAAACAGAAACAAAGGCAAAGGGTAAGCTCTCTAACATACCTGAAAGTGTCATTTTGCCACAGTTGTTAAACATCTCAGTGTGAAATGTGTAGCGGCTCTTGTAGAGTGGGACCTGGTACGAAAGGGTATGAAAGTTGGATTAAAAATCCTGCCAAGACATTACTATCAACAAAACTGCACTTTAGCCTCATCCTATAATACCACAAATGTGCCAAGAATATTCACCAACAATCCTGAGAAGTATCCTACATGATACTGAAAACTCCTTGAATGTTTTTCCACACCATGTTTGAGTTTGGTCTCCTAACAATCAGGGCCTACTTCCTGGTTCATTCCAATTCTTAAACATCTGTTGCTATGATCTCTGCCAACATAAAGATCAATTGAAGATATACAGAACATTACCTAATTAACTTATAATGTTAATTAACTACCAAAGTATCACTTTAGTAACAGGGCAATTTCAGGTAAGAGGAAGATAACCACCCAGGTTAATTATATATGCTAAGCCATTGCATAAATTAAAAATATCTGGTCTTAAATAAACTGCTATGAAGTAGGACACTAATCAGTCAATTCTGAAAAACATAATTAGCTACCATTCAGAAAACATTATTTTCACTTAGCAGAAATTATCATAAAAAAATCCCACTGCATTTCTAAATGAAGCAAATGAAATAATGAAAGTCCCGCAGTAAAGGTTCCCATACCGCCCACACAATCGGTTTGGTTTTTTTTTTTTTTTTTGCAGGGGAAGTTGAGTCAGAACTGACAGAACAGTAAATCAGAAGAGAGAGAAACATCCAGAAGACTGTGGCCATAAATTGGCAACATGCCAAAATAGAAACAGCACAATTTTTGAAGAAATGCTGCTGTGGGAGAAATTTAGACTCTGATTTTTTTTTCCCCCCAAGACAAAATCGTCATCTACGAGAGGACCTCCTCTGCTTAAATGTGTCAGATTTTTAAAAATCTATTCTAAAGAGTGACACACAGCAACTGTGCAATAGCTTAGCATGCTGACATGAGTCTGCATTCATATCTGTAGATTTAATATATCTGCCAGTCTGACCTGCAATGCAGACAATATTTTATTACTTGCAAATATTTATTTTAGAAGGTGGTCTAAGAATAAAGGCCCCTATAATATGCATGCAATCCTCTTCATGTCAAGCCAAACACCTTGAAATCCCACTTAATCACAGAGCAGAAAAAATTTAACTGAAATGCACTTGTGGGTATTTCAGTAGTATAGCTAATTCACAGTCTGTCCACAAATCAGAACAACCACAAACAAAGTGTGAGGACGTAGTACTTCGACTACAGTGTGACATCATATCAGAGCCTAAAGTCATTTTTATAGTCTGATCATTGCTATTTATGGATCTGTCTTGCACACATTAGGAGCATTAACTTCTTATTTATACTGTGGCCTGCATGCATTCGGAGTGACAGGTGGTTCAGTCACACTCAGAGCTGGGCCTCGTTGATGAGTCAGTGGGTTCATAATTAGACACACAGTCATCTCTGATGAGCAATACATATTTTTCCCTCTTCATTCAGTATATTAAATCCAGGCTCCATTTTTTAAAAATCCTCAGTTATTCACCATTATTGTTTTTATCCCTTTAAATTATGATCTGTTTGCTATAACAGTTAGAATGGCATCCAGGCAGACAGATGAGTTTGGTAGCTACTGATGTACAGAGAAGCAAATCCCCAAGCTAAAAATATATCAAATATATATCAAAAATACACATTATGGTGTAGGTCACAGTATCAGCCACCCAATTTAAATGGGAGTTATTAAAAAGTTTGTCTCTTGTGTGAGGATGGCAAGCTCCTCTGCATCAACAAAACTCAGCAACATCCCCATTTCTAAGAACTCTCAGCCCACACTCTGCAAGCACCCGCTTTCAAATAAAACTCTGATCAATACGAGCTTCCTGCACAGGTGAACATTTAATGACGTCCTGTCAGTCTAAAGGAAAAGGGGAAACCCCAGTCTGTAGCTCTTTACGGGGCTGTTTGAAGCATGCATGCTTTTGCATTGTCTTTCACATTCCTCACTTATAAAACACTCCCCAGTAACCTATGTCCAAAGCTCCCAATGCAGTGAATAATATGACCATTTTTTTGCTTGTAACACTATGCATTGATTACCATTTAGTATCTTTTCCTAAAAAAAAGATAATGCATGCCCGATTTCATTCCACAGCTTTTTTGTGCAACAGTTTCCTCAAACCCAGGAAAAAAACACACTGTGCAAAGTCAAAACAACAACTGAGCAACTGCATATGATTCATAATTTATGGCATCAGCAAATGTGCTAAAACCAAGTCCTTTTGAAACTGCAATTGCAGTGGTAGGGAAGCAGTGCAGGATGCCTGTTTCATTAAGGATATACTCAAAAGAATGATTTAACAGTAACTGCTTATTAACTATCATTAAAATAATTAGCCTACTGCAATTATGAAAGCTGACTTACCTCTCTAAAGACAGGTTATATTCTTCAGCTTCTCTCTTGTCAAGCTGCTGTTGTTCTGATACAGAGCTCGCAGCAGCAGCACCACCAGCCTTACAGCATGACATCACCTCCTAGCCACGCCATTGGGCGAGAGGGATGCTGGCTGCTGATGGGCTAGCATCTTTCAGAGCACAGCACACGGGTGGGGGAGAGTGGGATTACCTGTTAACTCTTTGTTGCAAGCAGCAGGCATCAATCAAGAATAACAAAGAGAAGCTTCCCCTGCTGTGTGCACTAAAGAATTCAAACGGGAGATTTTTATGCAGTTATTGTTATAAAATTATACATATATACATATAAGACAAGCCCGTTCTGGTGTAAAGGCATATACTGTAGAGTATGAATTATACATCTACAGAAATGTGCAAAGCCATGTTTTCTTTTAGCCACAGCAAAGGGAAATCTGAGCCCTTTTGTCCTGAATAATGTGATCTTTGGATGGCTTCGTAGCAACTAACATGTGCTGGCCTGTTTGTAAATTTAGGCACTTCTAAAAATAAGCACACAAAGGCTCTCTCTTCTGGGTCCCCCAATGCATCAGTGCAAAAGCACCAGTGGTATCGGAGCCAGAGCACTTGTTTGGCTAATCTGAAAGCTTGCTTGTAATGTTTGAGCAGTCTGTCAATGGCTCTTTCAAGCTTTCAATCTCTCTCTCTGGTTCTTACCCAAATGCTGCCTTTTATTTATTTCCTCCTTTGCACTATCTATACCCAGTTCAGGAAAACGACTTCTGATGATCTCAGGTCAGTTTTGTATATTAAACAAAAAAACAAGATGCAGTCGATTTATCTGTAGTTGAGTTCTATTTTCCTTAATTGCTACTGTGATTAAAGTGTAAAGTGAAAATAATTTTAATATTGTTTCACTGCATATTATGCAATACCATCTGATCTATTTCGATGAAGAATTGATGATGAAGAATTAATAACACCAAGAAATCCTACTTTATATTCAAATATTCTTATGACTATTGCTTTTGAAAATGAAATGTTTTTGAAAATGTTTTTGAAAATGAAACACATTAAATGCAATAAAATCCTGCAGTAAAATTCTTACAACAAACATGTATGTCTTTGCACGTAATTCTTCATTCACATCATACACATCATTGCACATCACTCATCATTTTTCTTTGGACATCATTCTTCTGCAACAGTTAATTCTCCTATGCAAAATAAAACCCAATTTAAACTAATTTAAACGAATTCCCGCTATCACTTAGCATAAGTAGAAACAAATAGGCACATATTTGTCCACTTTTTGCCTAATAAAACAATGAAATATTTTTACTCTATGAAAGGTTATGTAAAGCAAGCATTACTACTGTAGATGAGACAATCCAGTTTTACAGAAGACAAATGTTCACCAGATTCAAAAGAACATAACTGAGTGCAAAACTTTCCTTTATTACTTTGCATTACAGGCATTGATAGGTTTATGACTGTATACCCAAAAACTGGAGGAGATTTCATGCCGCACAATAACAATAATAATAATTTTAAAAAAAAGGGTCATATTCCATCTCGAATGTCATAATATAAATTTTTAATATTGGTTAATCCAAAATGAATAAACCACTACCCACATTTTGATTACAGTTCTTTAATATTTCAATTCACAGCAATAAAACACAGACACTGCAGTTTATATAGACTTCTGACGTTTTAATATAAGAATGGTCTTAATTGTAAATGCTTGCAGCGGTCATGTCACAAAACATTAATCAGAGCTTTGCTGCATTGATTGGACACTGCTTGTGAGGTTTAAATGTCTTGTATATGTCATAAATAATGTTTTAGCATATTTTATAACAAGTTATTTTGGGTTAAAGAGTCTGCCACAATGACAAGTAAACTGACAACAAATAAAAGCAGTAAAGCATGTGAATGAGCTCTTGTAGAGTTTCTGATGCTGTTTTGCATGATGTTGTATGCATGCATCCCAGTGGAAAATTAATAAACACAGGTTATGTGAGGACAGAACATTTCAGGCTTATTCTCTGGGGTCTCTGTCAGCGCATGTCCGGTGTGAACGTGGCATCACACATTTACAACAAACCTTACATCTGCAATAAATGACTTTAAAATCATTTACAAATGCAGCAATCAGGCCTAATAAGCAGGATAAAGTGGCTCCAAGACTTGCGATTAAAACGACGAATCCCATAAGAGCAGCATGCGAGATATAAGGTAACAGAAGTTGGCAGTGCAATGCAATGCATGCAGGGTTTAGTTCACTATTGGTGGGTGGAGTGGGGGGGAGTGGCCACATTTAGGGAGACACACGTCGTCTTGTTTTGCTGCTTGGCTTGCACCGGCGAGATGATGTCATCCAGCTGCAAGGCTGCCGTGGGCACGCAGCCCTGCCCCCGCCCTCACTGGAGGGGAGAACGTGGAGTAGAGGAGGAAGACGTGGGGGTGGAGCTGTTGGAGGGAATCCAGGAGAGGAGCAGAGGGACATTATGTTCAAGGGGGGAAAAAGAGAGGAGAGAAGGGGTGACAGGGAGGGGAGGCAGAGAGAAGCGGAGGGAAAAGGGGAGGAGTCGCGGCTGCCCTGCATCATCTCTTTGGGCTGTTTGTGGAATCAGCTGCATCTAGCTCTGTTCAAAGACGTGAACAGAGCCAGTGCAAAATAAACCTGTATGAGCCTCTGACCTCAACCTTGGGTTGGAGGGGGAGGGAGGCAGGGAGGGGGGATGAAAAACAATGTGCTGGAAAGGAACATCTCATCATCAGGGACAATCTCCCAGTGATGTAATTTCCAGCCAATCCAGTGAAGCCTTTATTCGTATTTTCAATACAGTGCAGATGCATTAACCCTTGTGCGCCGACAATGCTCTGAAACCAGGAACAAACGGACGCATGCAAACAGGCTCCCGAAATCGCATTTGTCAGTCACCCTTTGCACGTTAGGGCCATTGCATGCAGCATAGTTATTATCGTTGCATGTGGCAATTTAAGAGTTATACATTATTTACCAGAAAAAATACACCAGCTATATTTTATTTAAAGGCTATAATTGCTAGCTTTGGCGACAGTATTTTATTGCTTGATAAAAATGCAAATAAAAATGATCAATGCAGAAAATGTGATCATAATACACAGCTCTGCCTCAATGGTCATACATATTAGACCAGCGGGGAAAACCTATTAGCTGTCTACCAGCTGGGGCTGGGCAAATTCAGGTATCCAAGCAACAGGGTGGAGCTGGAAAGGGCCATGTGCTCTACGGTGATGTCATTGCCAAATATTGATCACTTACCCTAACAAAACTGCATGATGAATAATTCATTAAGCATCTTTTTCTCCTTGGAATGGAATCTGTGGTCTTTTTAATAGTAGTGGCTCTTTTATGAAGTCTTACCTGTGTTCACAGATCATATAGATCAACAAAAAAACAATATAGTAAACAATATAGCACATAGAATATTCTACGTTTTATCTCTGACAAGTAGGCCCTATGAGTTGTGTATCATAGCAACACTTAATTCAGGACCCAAAAAAGCAAATTAAGATTAATAAGCACAAATTAGGAAAAAAAAGATCAATCTGGAAGAGAAATGTATTATTCACCGCTTGGGTAATTTCTCGATGATGATGAAGTGGTTGATGAGGTCCATTCCCAGGTCATGGTTAACCTGATACCTTCCACCATGTCTGACAATGTCGTCACCCCAAAGCCTACTTCAGCCACAACAGAGAACCATGCTGACCTATTTCAAAGGGGTGACGAACCCATTAGGTAATAAATGTGTCACATTTCCTTCATGACATACCTTTGGAGTCTTGGTTAATGGGGTGGGGGTGAAGCATATGCAGATTTCCTTTAACAGAAGACAAATAAAACTGTCAATCACAGTGGGGAGGGGAGGGGGGGGAGTATAGTTTGCCAAACAGCCACTAACCAGCGATTCCCCCCCCCACAGCACAGCTTAAATAACATGCCCACAGGAGGCGTGGATCGGAGCGGCGTTAAATACCACCGCGGAGGTGATTCACGCTCTGCGGCCGAACTGGCATCTGCCACTGCCCCCCCCCACACCCCCCGCAGCCGCGGCAATGGGAGCGCCGCTCGTCCGCCTCGAATGAAGTCACCTCCGCTGGGAGATGGGCGCCGCCGCCCACCCGCTTTCAGCGAGGAACAAGAGCTCTGTGACAGGGGGCCGTCACCACGTGCGAGGAGGCGGTCACGATGCCGCTCTTCGGGACCGGGGGGCTCGCCGGGGGGCTGTTACTGTCTCGCTGCCTTTGGCAGGCCCTTTGAAATGTATAGACTGAAGCTGTGCGCTTCTCAGAGCTGAAACAGCACGGCAAATAACTGCTACTGCCTCCCACAAGCTGCAAAATGTTTAGATGCTGTGAGTTTTACACCTGAGCGATTCGGGTTACCTAAGGGGCCGATCGCCAGCCTGTAGGCTGTGATTTCGTAACGTTAACCACCTCAATACTTATCAAACCTATCAATATAAAACCTTTTACCCTAGCCAGCCAGACAGCCCACATTTTTACTCCCTCTAAGCTCCTAGCACACCTGTACCAGGAATTTGATGTTCTTGAATGTTTGACTGTTTGGTTCAGGGGGACAGTGTGGAGGTTCCTGAGGACCGAGTTGAGAAACATTGGTTTATGTCAGGGGTCTCCAACGCCGGTCCTGGAGAGTTACTATCCAGTAGGTTTTCTCTCCCACTTGGCTTCTGATGAGCCACACCTGCTCCTGCTGGGTAGGATAGAAAACCGACTGGACGGTAGCTCTCCAGGACCGGAGTTGGAGACCCCTGGTTTATGTAGTACAGGTTCACGGTGAAGCTGCAGGTTACCTCAGGCAGCTCTGTCACCTCAGACCTGCAGGACGTCGTGTTGGGGATCCATGTGAATCTATGTTTGTTCCATGCATGCTCCATGTATGTATGTTTGCAGTTTGTGTGTTTGCCCTATGCTGTGCAGATTTCCGCCTGCGGGGCAGTTAGACTGTCTCTACAATTCCCCAAACTGACTATAACCATGAGCTGCCATGAATTTGCAACCTGTCCATGATGCATCGCAGCCTGAATTTGCAACCTGCCCATGATGCATCGCAGCCTGAATTTGCAACCTGCCCATGATGCATCGCAGCCTGCCTCAGAACCGGCTCC